CTTAGTACAGTTCGTTTTAGTTGTGATTTGTTGGCCTGACCAACCCTAAAATAATACACGCAGAACACTTAAATAGGGCATTTAAATCGACGTGCAATAGGGTTCCATCCTATCCTCTAGCATCATCTCTAGCCTCTACCTTCACACTTCCGTACCTTTACTCATGACATTTCCTCTGCTTGGTACACCTGTCTCTCCTTTTTCTCTCCCATATTAGTGCTTTGCTCATAGTCATCTCACCTGCAAAGTCTCTCTTCCCCAGTTCAATGTCTTCTAACCTTCAGAGTTATATACGGTAGTCCCCACCATCACTTATTTGTGGGGGATGTGTCCCAAGATCCCTGGTGGATGCCTGAAACCCTGGATAGTACTGAACCCTATGTTTTTTTCCTATACATAAATACCTCTTCACTTAAATGAGGCACTTTACAAGCTTCTCTTTGGCATATCTGAATTGCCAGATCCTGTTCACTTGTGCCAGTTCTTAAAATAAATCAGCTTCACTTTCCCCTTTCCAGGGTAATTTTATTTTAATCCAGGGTTTCTGTACACATTTTAAATTGCAGAGTTGCTTCTTGCACATAGTAGCTCTTCAACTACTGTTTTTTAATGATTGAGAATCTTGTAATCTTTGTAATGGTTTTTCCCTTTTCATGGAAGACCCTGAGCCTTTTTGCCCTGTCCCCCTAGCTCATTTATAGAGGCAGTGCCAGCAGCTAGATTGCAAGACGCTGCCTGTCTGTCACTCAGGTTCCTGCTGTTCAGTGATGATGTCGGCAGTATGCTTTCATGACCCCGCAAGGGATGTATTTTTAATGGAATTGCCCTCGATATTTAGGTGTTCCTGTTTTTCTCGAGGCCAGCGTGCTCAGAATGTGAATTTAAAGTGTTTGCCCTCTCATTATGCAATGGAAGTCAGACACTTTAAATTAATTTGCTGTTGCTCTACGTTTCCTTTCACCCGGCCTGTGTTTTAATTCAGTGAATTAATGCTTGCTGGCATTGGGCACATCAACTGTTTCTCCATTTAGCCTGCTCGCTAAGTCATTTCTGTCTGCTGCACCATCCTTGCTAGACCCTGTGTGCCCTTTATATATCCTGTGAGCCATGGGGGACCAGGGCACTGTCAGCCCTGTAATTAAAACCTGCTGTGTTTCCAACACAACACACTGCGTGGGAGCGTAAGGAGCTGACTTCATTACTGTGCTTCCTTTTCCTTTCATTATTGTCTGTTGCGCTCACTTTTTGGGTGTAGCTCAGTGAGCCTTTAGGTGTTGATGGCCAGGGATCAGGTTTGGAAGCCTTTCTTCAAAAGTCTTTTGAGCCAAATCAGCAATGGGTGGGTGCAGGGAGGCTGTTTGCCGCAGACTCTTGCTGCAAGGCCTCCCCGTACGCTTCCTGGCTTCCCTGTGGCAGAGGGAGTTGAGCCTCCCCTGTGCCCCTGAGAATCGTGATGACTGAATCCCACCGACTCAGCGCCCACCATAGGCCCTGCTCCCCCTTCCTCCAGACACTGCCACCAAAAAGCAGCTCTTGCTCGCAGAAAGCTGGGTTGGGTTTTTTGATCATTTCTTTTCAAACCTTCTTTTGTGCACCTTGTATGAATGAATGTACATAGGCTGGAAGGGTCAGTGCTATGAGAAACACTGATAACCATCATCATTTTCAGATGGTAAAGAACTGCCAGTCGTCAGTCTTTATTTTATTGTGAATACCTAAAAAACCAAGAACCCAGATGGACCGGTACTCACCTCCCCACCTCCACAGAACGATACTCACCTCCCCACCTCCCTAGACTGGTACTCACCCCCCCACCTCCATAGACTGGTACTCAGCCCCCCACCTCCATAGACTGGTACTCAGCCCCCCACCTCCATAGACTGGTACTCAGCCCCCCACCTCCATAGACTGGTACTCAGCCCCCCACCTCCATAGACTGGTACTCAGCCCCCCACCTCCATAGACTGGTACTCACCCCCCACCTCCATAGACCTGTACTTACCTCCCCACCTCCATAGACTGGTACTCACCCCCCCACCTCCATAGACCTGTACTCACCTCCCCACCTCCCTAGACTGGTACTCACCTCCCCACCTCCACAGACCGGTACCCACCTCCCCACCTCCCTAGACTGGTACTCACCTCCCCACCTCCCTAGACTGGTACTCACCTCCCCACCTCCCTAGACTGGTACTCACCTCCCCACCTCCCTAGACTGGTACTCACCTCCCCACCTCCCTAGACTGGTACTCACCTCCCCACCTCCCTAGACTGGTACTCACCTCCCCACCTCCCTAGACTGGTACTCACCTCCCCACCTCCCTAGACTGGTACTCACCTCCCCACCTCCCTAGACTGGTACTCACCTCCCCACCTCCCTAGACTGGTACTCACCTCCCCACCTCCCTAGACTGGTACTCACCTCCCCACCTCCCTAGACTGGTACTCACCTCCCCACCTCCCTAGACTGGTACTCACCTCCCCACCTCCCTAGACTGGTACTCACCTCCCCACCTCCCTAGACTGGTACTCACCTCCCCACCTCCCTAGACTGGTACTCACCTCCCCACCTCCCTAGACTGGTACTCACCTCCCCACCTCCCTAGACTGGTACTCACCTCCCCACCTCCCTAGACTGGTACTCACCTCCCCACCTCCCTAGACTGGTACTCACCTCCCCACCTCCCTAGACTGGTACTCACCTCCCCACCTCCCTAGACTGGTACTCACCTCCCCACCTCCCTAGACTGGTACTCACCTCCCCACCTCCCTAGACTGGTACTCACCTCCCCACCTCCCTAGACTGGTACTCACCTCCCCACCTCCCTAGACTGGTACTCACGCCCCCACCTCCATAGACCGCCACCTCCACCAGCCATTTATTTTCTCAGACCCTCCCTCCCGCCTACCATAAACATGGTGGGGGGACACACTCAAGAAAAGGAAGCTGTGCAAAGTACAAAAAACTAAAGTAAGAAAGCCTCCCACGAGAAAGCCTGAGGGCCTTTCGGATGCTCATGGATGTTAGTCTAACGGGGAGACTGGCACAGTCTCGGCAGTAACGGAAGTCTATGACACATGCTCTGGAGTAAATGAGACAGAGGTGTGTTGGAGGCCATGTTAGAGGGGCTGTTCAGGGCAGTCAGCATGCCTCTGAGGGGGTGACATTGAACTGAGACCTGAAAGACGCCAACTGAATGAGTGACATGAGGAACAGTCATAGGAGGAGTCAGGGACCGGAGGGTTTCAGGCAAAGGTACAGCCAATACAGAGGTATTAGAGGACGTGACCTCTCCCCAGGCCAGATAGGCCCTGGTGACTGCTGTCCACAGCTTTCTTGCTTACAAAGCCCAAACCTGCAAAGATAGTCATTAAACAAAAGAAAGGCTTTTCCCTTGAGGCCATAGAGCAGTTGCTCCCATTATGCCTCTCTTCCAGCCCGCATGGCATTGAGACGATTTTTATCTTGAGTCGACTCCAGGATATCAGGCACCTTAAGAATCCAAGACTGAGGAACAGGCCCACAATGAACTTACCTAACCTTGTGACTAAAATGGGCAAAAATGTACTTTTCCTTTTTTAAAAAAATATATCTTTATTGATTTCAGAGAGAGGAAAGGAGAGGGAGAGAGAGGGAGAGAGAAACATCAATGATGAGAGAGTCATTGATCAGCTGCCTCCTGCACGCCCCCGACTGGGGATGGAGCCCGCAACCCGGGCATGTGCCCTGACCAGGAATCGAACCCCAATCACCTGGATCCTGGGTCGATGCTCAACCGCTGAGCCACGCCCGGCCAGGCCCTTTTCCTTTTCTAATTGCATATATATTTGCTGTCTCCGAAGGAGTGACTGTACCCAGGACTGGCCTGGCTAGTGACTCAGAATGAGAGACTAGGAGCAAGTCTTTGTTCCATGTGACAGTTGCACTTGGGGTGCTGATGAGGTATATTTCCCATATTAGGTGAATTTGCTAGGCTTCAGTGCTCTTCCAGGAACTGGGCAGGACCAGATGAGAAGCATCTTCAGAAGGCTGCCCCTCACAGACCAAGGTGCAGGCGGGACATGGCTGTTGTGTTTGGGAGCAAGGAGCAGACACCAGCACTTTTATGTCTCAGGCTACCAGCGGAGCAAAGTCACAGCATCAGGAGCCAAATGGACAGGCGAGAGTCTGGCGTCTTACCTCCAAAATTAGAAGCAATTCTTAAAAGCCACAGGCTTTTATTGATCTGTTCTCTAATAGCTCTACAAGTAGAAAGTAAGATATTTAATGGTTGCTAAAGATTCTGCATATGTCATCGACTCGCTGTCTATAGATCTTGGAGAGTAAGGAGAACCTGGGACTAATAAGTAAATCCCAGGCAGCATTCTGAGGGAAGTTATAGGAGGGAAGAGGAAAGTGCCCATTAAAGAATTTCCAGTCCCCTGTGGATTTGGGAAGGGGACAGGAACAGGGAAGTAGACTGATGCTTGAGTCTAGGAAGAAGTAGAGATAATATTGCAAAGGTGTTCCGGGCATGGAGTCAGATTACTTGGGTTCAAATCTCAGCTCCACGACTTGTCACCTGACTGATCTTGGGCGGCTTATTCAGTTGTCCTGAGCCTCAGTTTCCCTATCAGGAAAATAGGAACAATAATAATGACACTTACTAAAAAAGCAATCTAGGTCATTCGCGCACAGTGTCTAGCACTGAGCCTGGCCACTTGGTTTTGGACCTCGTGGAGTTGTTGAGGAACGCCGCTGCTGGCCTGCCTTGCAGTGGTCCTTCCCTGGGGGTGAGGGTAGCAGCCTTTATTTTTTAAAGTATTCTTCCCTCTTGTATCGGACAGTGTGCGGCCACCCGTTAGAGAGCAGTGGGTGGAACAGCAACATATTTGATAAAGCGAAGAACAAAGGAGTCGTAAATAGGGCTGCCCGAAGGCCGTGTGGAATAAAAATTACTTTCTAAATTTTTACCCCTTCTCTCTCCCTCCCTCCCTCCTTCGCCTCCTGGTTGGTAAAGGTTTTACTCTGCATCACCTACGCCCCGACATTTGACCTGAATGGGAGCGCGGTGCTGAAGATCGCCGAGGTGAGTCCCGGCTGCCCCAGCCCTCAGGTGCTGCTTGCGTTTGTGCTGCTTCATCCCTGCTGGCGTAAATGTCGGGGTGGAGCGGAGCCCAGCGGTGGGGTGAGCCCTCCTCTGGTCATGACCATGGGGAATTTCCACTAAGGACTGGGTCTGTGGGAAGCAGGCTGTGTGGCCCATCGTCCTAAGTCGCGGTGCTCTGCATGCTTTGGTTTGCTTAACTTTACGCTTTAACCATGGAAATAACAGTACTGGTTCTCCCCACCTTGCCACACTTTGGTATCTCATCTCGGATTGCATTCTTAGTCTGTTTCTCCTAAGCTTAATTGAAAAGCATTTGATTTTTTTTTTTAAATGGTTTTTAAGAAACCAAGTATGTGATTTAGAGTGATGTTTATTGATCAAATTTCATTCCTGTCTCCTAAGCCCTGACGAATGCATTTTGTAGCTATCATCGGAAAGCCTTTTCTTTTCCATTTGTATTGCAACTCAGAGCAATAGGTACCTTCCAGCACTCCCACAAGTGTGTCCAACAGGGAACTTGGCTTCTTGACCATCGGGCATAAGCCTTTGGTTTTGGGAAACCTCATCATTCCAGAGCTGTACTTTAATATGCTTAGAATAATTTCCTTCCATTTCTTGAAAACAGCATCTTCAGGATTTGTGTATTTTGACAAGAGTACACATTCAGACCTTAACGAGGCATTGATATTGTAAATTCTAAAATTATGGAGAAAAGAAAGCCTATTAGTGCTCACGGGTTTTTGTTTTTGCAATAATGATTACCATTTATTGAGCATGCCAGGTAGATGCTAAACACTTTGGGCATGTTTTCTTTTTTCATCATTATTGAGGTATAATTGACAAATAAATGTATATATTTAAACTGTACAGCTCAATGTTTTGATATACCTATACATTGCAAAATAATCACCACAATCAAGCTAATTAGCATATCCATCACCTCACCTAAGTAACATTGTCATGGGTAGTATTTATATTGTCTGATTCATGAGCTTTTACAGTATTTGTGCCATTAAAGAGTGAAAATTAAGAGAAAATTATTTTTGAGCACACAGAACATTTTTGAGTCTATCAAAGTAAAAAGAAGCAGATAATTAGCTGACTTCTCACTACAATGTAAGTCAGTTCTTGAGTGTGTATTTCTATAGGTGGAAAGGAAACTTTTTTTAAAAACACATTTATATGCTTTACTCTATACAGGTAAAGAAAGAGAATAGCTATTAATATTTTTTAATTTGAATTTTGAGAGCTACCTCTGAGTACTCCTAGTATTTGCAGGTTTGCCTTTTTTACTGCAGTAAGAACACTTAGAATGAGATCTACCCTCCTGACATAATTTTAAGTGTACAATACAGTAATGTTAACTATGGCACAACGTTGTAGAGCAGATCTTTACAACTTACTCATCCTACATAACTGAAACTTTGCACCCACTGAATAGTAGTACCCCTCTATTTACCCCTTCTTCCGGCCTTGGCAGCCACTGTTCTACTCTCTGTTTCTCAGAGCCTGACTGTTTTGGATACCCCATTGCTTTTAAAATGACAACTGAAGTTTTTGAGCAGAGCAGTGCTGAAGCAGGGTTGGATGTGGGAGGCAGGCCTGTTAGCCCTCTGCCCTGTGAAGGGCGGGAGGGGACATGCAGCAGTCACTGTGCAGCCAGGCCCCGGGGAGCTGTGCTGGAGCTAGGGGTTGCTGCAAAACCCTAAGTTGGAGGGGGGTGGCCACCAGGGAACCCAAGCGGAGAGGAGCAGTAGGCTGCCTTTCTCCTCCTCTCGGGAACCGCTTTTTAAATAAGAATCTGAAAGATTTGGGGTGCGATTCCTGAACAGTGGACACGCACTGCTGTGGACCACCGAAGTCAAGGGTGACAGCTGCCTTGCCTCTGTCATGACTAATCAGACCCCCCCCCAAAGTATGGAGTCCCGCCTAGCAGCAGCATTCTCTCGATGGTGAACCCCCAGTAGGTACAAGCTTTGTGGTTCTTCTAATCCGCCTTGCCTTTCATCTCCTGCCACATCATCTCCACATTTTCTCCTTCCAGTTTGTCAGTGCTTGATATATATCTTCTTTTAAATTTTATTCACTGATTTTAGAGAGAGAGAAGAAGGGAGAAGTAGAGGGAGAGGAACATTGATTTGTTATTTCACTTATTTATGCATTCATTGGTTGCTTTTTTTATGTGCCCTGACCGGAGATCGAACCCGCAATCTTTGCATATCAAGACAGTGCTCTAATCAGTTGAGCTACCCGGCCAGGGCACAGACGTGTTTCTCAAATCCTTTACCAGTTGAATCTGCTACAGAGTTATCCCACTGTTCCTTCTGAATATGTTTTCACCAATAAGACACAGAGTGAGCCTTTAAAAAAGAGGGGTAATGCCCCCCACTCAACCCATATCTATGTAATCTGGCGTAAAAAGAGCATAGAGCAGATCTGTTTATAGGAAAACATAGCAACAACTTATATTATAAATGTAAGTATATGAATCAGTAGTTATAGCTATTAGGTTATTAAATGAATAATGTATAGATAATTTAAGAAAGGATCATAGTAGAATCATCTGAAATCATTATTTCAGATGTACAAGATAGGAATAAACATCTTTCTTACAGGCCTTCCTTTTCTATTTTTTCGAATTTGCAAAATAGCTTATAGCGTTTGGTTTTCACCATAGTAATCACTTAAGAAATGCTTTTTCACCACTAAAAAATATGAACTACAAAAGAGAATTACACTCCCACTCACACAAAATAATAGTGCTCTGTAGACTTACTGAAACCCAAGATTTTTGCAGGCCCTCAAGTGCTGGTAACTTAGCATTTGAAAATCTGCATCTCTGTTTTTAAAGCAGGACATTTCAGCCTAAAACTACCACTTAGCGCCAGGAAGCTTTCTTGGTTGTATCTGAACTTTCTATAAAAATAAGTCTTTAACTTAAAGAAGAAAAAAAAAAGACCTTTTCTCCTCTTGTCACTTTTAATCTAGCTAGGGAAACAATTTATAAAAACACCTTAAAATAAGCCATTTAAAATGGCTGTGGAAATGTCGGGAAAGAATCCAGACTTTGTTTTCTTTCATACTCTGGGCTATTTTGACCATTACTCAAACACAATGCTTAGCCTGAAACCTGTTGATCAGGAAATGGGATGTGTACTTAAGTATGAAAAATGAGGCTATTTCCCCAAGGTACTGCTGAAACCACACAAGGATCATTAAGCATTTAAAAGTAAATAAGAAGGTGGCAGCCTTCGTTTATGTGTCTAACTTAACTTGCTTAATTAAACTGCAGTAATGAAAGTTTATTCAGTACAGGGTCTTCCACAATACACAAGGAATTAGAAATACCACCAAATTTAGAAACAGACAATTATGAAATGTCCAATGTGTGTTTTCTGTTCAGTTTTATGAATTATCATTTCTAAAACTCCATATGGATACATAATTCTTCTCTTTATTGATCGAAAGCTGGGCCTAAGATTTCTCTTCCTGTGGTGCCCAAATTAGCAGATATGTTGAGTTGTCCAAGGTTAGTTATCTTAATATAGGAAAAGCTGTGGGAATAACAGTTGCCCAGGTCTTGGGGTTAAGGAGGGGGTGGTGCCATAGCCAGAAGCTCTCTGAAGCTAATTCGAAGATGGTTAATGATATTGCTTCGCTGGAAAGGTTTGGGACATATTCTCATGCCTGCTAAAGGCTCCTTTATGGAATTTTCTCAAAATGAGAAAATCTTGTTCGTAAATGTGCATTTTCTGGCTTGATCTTTTTGATTCATGGGACGCTTCTAGACTTTGATTCTATGGCCTGCTGTCAGGTTCAAGCAAAGTCTGTCTCTCAAACACCATTGTTTTATTTTTTAAGATTCTTTCAGGGACCTTCCCCTTTCCCTTCATCTATCCATCCAACCCTCAATTCCAAAACACGGGTTAATAATAGTAGCTAAGAATAATTGAGTCTTTAGGGCATTTTCCATACATTCTTTTTTAATCTTTACCACAACCAAGCTAGATAAAGAATCCCAAGGAAAGTGAAGTTAATTTGCTTGTCCAAGGTTCTGTAGCGAGACATTCAAACCCAGACTTTATATTTCAAATATGTGCTGTTGGCCAATATGCTATATGGCTTCCTGGTAACTTCCTTCTTAGAAGTAGAATCTTGCCATAATAATTTTGGCAACTGGCTGAAATTCTTAAGAGTCTTATCCACCCGGGATCTTTACCAAGGCATTTAATTTGGTAATTGCTCTATGGTGTTTTTACATGTGAAGCAGAAGTATTGATGAATCTCACCTTTTTTTGTGGCCATAGATTCAAGAGACCATTAGGCATATGCCACTTTCTTGGGTACTGATGCTCAGTTTATCTTTTCTGAGCATTATGTTACCATCACAGGATCTGCAATTTAGTTTAGTTTCACTTGTTATCCCAGGGAGCTTCAAAAACGTTGAGGCTCAAGACCTGCCCCAAAGATTTCAATTCACTATTTATTTCACTGAGTTGGCTTACAGCTCTTGAAATGTTCAATGGTACTTGTTTTTTAGCCTAATTATTTCTGAGACACACCTCAAATAAAGTCTTCTACAATTAAGGAGCAGATAGTCTCCAGATATAACCCAGAAGAAAAGTACACAGATGACCTGATCCATTTCTCTTGGAAGCATCTTATTTGCTATGTTTTCTGTAAAACTGGGAGGAGTAACCATACCTCCTGGCAAGAGAAGTGGCCAAAGGAGCCCAGACCATTGTCTCAAACCAGCTGAGGCCATTGGAGTAAGAAAATATCATTTTAAGGGACTGCCTTCTCCACTGTTCCTTCTGAAAACCCTTTTCTTCTTCTTGGGCCAGTGTCTTTACTGACTCTGGTTTGACTCCTCTGAGGTTTCGGTTCTTTGGCTACTTATTGCCACATGGGCTTTGAGCAAACAAATTTTCTTGTGCAAGGAATTTCCACACTTCCCTTTAATCTCTGACTTGTATGGC